GGATGAGTATGAGGAGGATGGAGGGGATCTGTGTGATCTGCTGGAAATGGGGACAGAGAGGAAAAGGATGTTGGAGGTAGTCTGCTAAGGGGTTGGGGGTAAGATGGGGGATGGGAGTGGATTTAGAGGAGAGAAGGGAGAGGTACAAATTTACAGTTAACCTACCTGCTTTCTTGGAAGGAGTGTCCTGCAGATTCCCAGGGGATGCCTGTTGGGGTTCAGAGCTGAGACAAAGTGATGAGCAGTGGTGGGGGTTGTTCAGGGGAAGATCTGAAAGATCCACTGGAGGTGGGCACAGGGAAGGAAGGGAAGCTACAGGAAGTAGTCTGCTATAGAGTTGAGGGTGAGAGTGCAGGATTGGAGAGAGATTTGAAGGGGAATGGGGCGTGGTGAAGATCTGCAGATAGCCTATTGACTCAGTAACTTTTCGAACAATCGGACAAACTTCCCCTTTACTAATTTATCCACCAAAATGATTTTATTCATACCCATCCTGCTGAAAACTACTCGTAGTAACTTGAAGTTCTGGATATATATGTCTGTGGCATAATTTAGCTTGGAGTTTCGTTTTCTTCAAGGCAAGGTCTTAGAATGATAGCATGTTCATAAACTGATAGGAGGCTACCCCCAGCACAATGCTTTTGTGTCAGATTCAGCTGAAGCGTCTCATTGATTCAGTGCAACATGCAAGGTTTAATTAGGTTATGACTGGTGTCTGATAAAGAGTCTATAGTTACTGCCATCTTTGGTCCTAGGAAGATATCATCTGTTGGCTATGCCTGTCTCTGATTTGGTATTCCTCTTGTCTAGTTTTAAGATTGGGCTATTTGGGGCCTTGTTTGTTTGCTGGTCTGCTTTTGCTGTTGCATCAAATGAGTTACTTTCTCATTTTCGACATTTACTCTTATTGGGTATATAGTTTGCAAATGTTTTCTCCCATTCTGTAGGTTGCCTACCATTCTGTTGACTGTCCCCTCTTCTGTGCAAAAATTCTTTTTTTATAGTGTCACTGGTTTAGTTCAGCTTCCATTGTCTCTGTGTTGGGTGCCTAATCTGAAAAATTATTGCTAAGGAACTTGAGTTGACTTTTGTGTATGATGTACCGTAAAGATCTAATTTCTTCACATATGAAGATCTAGTTATCCCCAAATCACTGTGACAGTTACTGCCAACCTGACACAAGTTAGACTTATCTGAGAAGAAGGAACTCTAATTGAGAAAATGTTTCTATAAGATTGGCCTATGGGCAAGCCTGTAGACTTACTGGGGGTAGTACTGCCCGTGGGCTGATGGTCCTACTATGAAAAAGAAGTCTGAGCAATCCAGTAAGCAGCACTCTTCTGCAGCCTCTGCTTCAGTTTCGTACTCCTCTGACTTATTTCAATGACGGACCATGACATGGACCCATAAGGTAAAATAAAACCTTTTTATTTCTTGTTTGCTTTTGGTCATGGTGTTTTATCACAAACAATAGAAACTCTAACTGAGACAATGACTTAACATAGAAATTATCAATTCTTCCTCTGTATTCTTGGTGCATTTTTTGAGAGTTGGTTGATTATATTCACTTGGGTTTATGCCTGGCATTCTATTCTGTTCAATTGGCCTATAAACCACGTTTTATGCCAGTACCACACTGACATAATTATCAGTGATTTCTACATCATTTAAAAATCAGAAAATGTGATGCATGCAGCTTAGTTCTAGGTCAAGATTATTTCAACTATTTGGAACTAGATATTTGACAAAGGATTAATACCAAAATGGTGGAGACTATTGAACTATTCAGCAAGTGCTATTGGAGCCAGTTGACATAAAGCCAGAAACTTCAAACAGATCTTATGCAGTTTACAACATTTAACTCAAAATGGAGTTCAAGATGGAAGTAACACGGAGAAATGGTCCCGGGTCTGCAAGCTAGGCTGAGTGAAGGCTTGGCTGAAGGAAGCCTGGGACAGTGAGGAGAGCTTCATTCTTTTTTATTGAGAGAGAGTTTCACTATGCACCTCTGTCTCACTAAGAGTGCATAAAATAGGTACCAAAGTGTGAAAATTCTTGCTACAAAAATGACGTTGCTTTGAAAGGCACACATTATCTATTATGAACAAGAAATCGTTTTGTCAAATGATTTAGAAGTTAGTGATTGTACTCCATTAATTTTAAATTCAGATGAGCACTATGAAAATTTTGCAAATCTCTCTTCCCCTATAATTTTTTCCACACAAGAATCTGCGCATAACACCCACTCTTCCCAAAGTAACAGCAATTCCAAAAGCTGTTCTCCAGATCCCATCAAAACACAAGTCAAACCTGGCTGCTTCAGGAACAGTTAAAGCAGAGGCAGCCGGGAAAGGGTTCCTGAAAGCGTCTGAGAGGCTGCTCTTGTGTGAGAGACTTTTCTTGGCAGACGCAAGCATACATACATATGTGCGCATGTGCATGTACACACAAGCACTGACATACACACACGCATACAAGCACCTACCTACTCACCCCCAGAACAGGTACTAACAACACACATGACTTGCAGGCAGCCTGACAGGTTCAAAAGTTCCACTTTCAACAGGCTTAGCAGGTCTCTCCACCCCTCACAGCTGTTCACCACTTCTAGAATGTTGGAAAGGGGCCCTGGGAATCTTGAAAGTTTGATCTCTCGTAGATGCGTGAACTTCATTTACCCCCAGACCCTCAAGGTTCAGTGTGAGATCCTCTCCCAAGGGAATAAGGCAGTGACAATACAGGACAGAACAGAACATCCTTGCCGACCTCTACAGGTAAACACTTGCACATATATGTACAGATGCATCATACACACACACACACACACACACACACACACACATTCTCTCTCTCTCTTTCTCTCTCTCTCTCTCTCTCTCTCTCTCACACACACACACACACACACACACACACACACAAATCAGTGAGAGACAGAGAGAGCTCAAAGGGAGGAGAAAAAGCAATGGTTTGTAGACACTATTGAGTACTTAACTGCCACTTGGAAATTTGGCCCCAGATTACTTTTTCAGATTTTACCCATCATACTCACCAGAGGAAACTGCATCCATCCCTACTCCAGAGAATGATTTAAAATAGATTAAGCCAATGATGTTACATTTTCCTTGCATATAACATAATCTGGGCAAATATGATCTGTAGGAATGTCTGGGACTACAGGTAAATTTTCTGGAAAGGGTTTTACCACTTTAAAAAGAAATGTCTAACTGACAGGTAATTGAGTCTCAGAATAAAAGACCAAACTGCTTTTGACTGTAACCGCTGCCTTTTAATTCACTTCTGTGTCTTTAGAACTTTCCTACATATGCAGTGTGTGCAGCTGCTAAAGCCATTCAGAGAGCATAACGGGAGTTGCTTACATGTCAAAGCCAGTGTCTTGTTTAGCTTTCTAGTGCAGTGACAAAGACCATGACTAAATGAAACCTGGAAAGAAAGTGTGTCTTTCATCTTCCACTTCCAGGTTACAGTCCAACACTGAAGAAAATCAGAAATGGAATCTGGAGGCGGGAACTGAGCAGGGTCCATGGAGAAATACTTCTTGACTTTCTTTCTTATATAGCCAAGGACCAACCTGTGTAGAGGTGGCACCACCCATAGTGGGCTGGGCCCTCTCACATCAGTTATTAATCCAGAAAATGCCCTCACAGACTTGCCTACAGGGCAATCTGATGTAGACAATTCCTATATTGAGATTCCCTCTTTCCAGATATGTCTAGGTTTGTGTCAAGTTGACAAAAAAAATCAGCAAAGCCAGTTAAACATATTAATGAGAGAAATTTTAATGAATTTCATTCAGTTGCTAGAATTCAGTGAACAAACTGACCTAAGATTTATTATACAAAAATGTCCCCATACTATTCAGTCTGGGTTTTTGATTTCTACATACAGATGATATAACCTCACTCCAAAGCAAGTCATTTTTAAATCAACCTCTCAGAAATATGTTTTACTATTTGCCTGAGAAAGAAGTTTAAGATTTGAAGAAGCGTGATCCATTTTTGAATAAAAAATCCACGTTTCAATCCAATGATTTCACTAGTGCGTATAAAGAGAAACGCACACACAACAAAATAACTTAGATGGAGAAGGGTTGAGTTTTCAGTTGGGTATATACCATGTCTGGGGACGTTAACTTGGATTTTAGGAATCGACAGTCCTACTTTCTTGACTCCAGCATTTTAAAAACAAAATGGCGTGGAGCGCCTAGTACCCTGTAGGTGTGCTTTTTCCACACTTCTTTGTCTTTGTTGACGCTGTCCCTTCTGCCTGCAATACTAATCCCACCTTTCTTCTTGTGGCTCAATTCTTATTCGTCTGGTAAAACTCACTTTGGTTTATCCTCCAGGAAGCCTTCAGTTTCTCTAACTAGCCCCGGGTTGCTTGCGTTTTGTTTCCACAGTACTGTGCTTTTCTTATCCATAACAGTTAAACACTCATAGTAAATTTATTTCTTTTTGAGAAAGAAAAATGTGTCCAGTGTGTCTTTATTTTCAGCACTTAGCATACCATCTGACATACATGATTACGCGCATTGAAGTAACTATACTTAATTTAAGTTCAGAATGTAACCAATTCTTCACTGAAAAATCCATTCAGAGTGGATGTGGTTGTCCACATCTGTGATCCCAGCACTCCAGGGGCTGACATAGAAGAATGGAAATTTCAAGGCTAGCCTGGGGTTGTTAAGAAGGCCCTGCTTCAGAAACAAACAAACAATGAGACCCTTACAAATGATTCATGTAACTGTCACTGTGAAATGTTTGCTTGCTCTGCTGGAACCAAGATGAACAGAATTTCTCTTTTTACCGCCGCCACCACCACCTTTGTTTCTCTCCCCCTCCCCCCTCTATGCCTTCCTTCTCCTTTGCTTAGCTCTGCTTCTTCCTCAGGCTGCAGAGTAGGGAGGCAGGGCTGGAGAGGAAGTCAAGGATGTCATAGCAAGGGAGGAGGGTCTACAGGACAGCTAGTTTTACAGAGGAAAACTCAAATCAAGCACCAAAGCACACAGCAAGAGGGAGGGAGAACAGGAAGGCATTCCTCCGTGGCGTTGAGCTCTCAGAACAGTGAAGCTGTGCTTGGCAGTACCTCAGAGGCTGGAGATTCCAGGTAACTATTCTATCAACCTCCTTGTCTTTCCTTTCCAGTCCATTGCTTCTGAATTCCGGAGCTTCTGCATTTGCGCTGGGGTTAGGCACGTCTGCTGTTTCTCTATTGAGAGAGGATCTACTGTTAAACCTGTGTCTGGAAAGCAGCTTAAAGCTCCCAAAGCAGCCGAAGCTCTTCCTGAGGGGAAATTCAGAAAATTCAGATTGTTTTTCAGCATCTGGTTAATTTTTAAAAGCATTTTGATTGGTTTCAATGCATCTAAATGCTAACATTTTCTTTTATGAGCGGAAAAAAGTCCCGGAGACAAGCTAGTTGGAAGCAAAGGGGAATATTGCTGAGGCAAAGAACTGTTTCTTAATTCTTGAAGTTGTTTTCTCCCTTTGCTTACACTTTCAGTTTAACTGTTAACTACTTTGGTTTCTTGGATCTCTGAACTGGTGCAGCATAAAAGGTCAGAATTGCTTTTCTAATTTAAATGTGTGGGTTTGTTCTTACAAAGGAGCGAATATTTAAAACACATTGGTATAAAGGAGGAGAGGGACAGAAGCCAATGGAGAGGGGAAAGAAAGTAAAGGACTCCAGAAGAAAATGGAAGGAGGGAGGAAATAGGAATTAGCACATAGGGATTTCAAGCTTAATGAAATTGGAAGATGGTTGTTTATAGTGTCTGGTTTTCTCAGAAACGTCTTCCTGAACATTTTCAGGCAGTCACGTATCATATTGACAAACATACAGTATGGTGTACTTTGCAGTAGCTGACTTTTGTCTTTGGAAAACATGGATCTTGGTTACAAGTAGAATTATTCAGAGTCAGAAGGGGAGAGAGACATTGGTTCGTTTCCTTGCTGGCTTTGGAGCACTAGAATACACAGCTCAGTTCTTCCGGGCTTGGAAGACAGCTGCTTTCATCTGTTTTCTCTTCAATCTGGTTTAAGCCATTTGTGTTATGTCACCTCATTTACTTCCTCCTTCCAGGGACCCTTATTTCTTTTATTTACCGAGGGCACTACCAACAAACCCTTATCGACGTCTAGTTTATTCATGAAAGAGAATAAATGAGGCATTTCAGGGTTTCTTAAAAGGCTGCCCTCTGCCCCCCAGACTTCCTACAAAAAGGAAAAAAAAAGCATTTCAGAAACTGACTGGTGGTTCAATTAAAAGAATTCTATGTTTGTTGCTTGTTTATTTTCCTATGAACAGCAGCAACTCAGTGGGGACCACTAGGATGGAGAAAGGGAGAAAGAAGTTATACATTGCAAAAATATGCAAATAGATAAACATCTTCCTGTTTGCGGAGTATGTCCTTCCTGACTTCATGTTGTAATGCTCAAGGGGCTGTTTGGAGCTAGATTTGTTCATTATTAAAGAAATCACTTCCGTTTTCTTTCTAAAAGCAAAAAAAAAAAAATCAAACCAAACAAACAAAACAACCAAACCAAACAGACACATTGAGATTCCTAACTGTGATAAATAATGTCACTTAGAACTTTCAGAGTAAAATTTCTATTTATGTTTAAAAATATATTTGAGAAAGGCAGCAATTGAAGTTCCACTGCAGTTCTGTCCTGATTTTGATTCTGATTTCTTCTTTCAGAATAAAGGCTCTTTCCTTTTGTAATTAGCTAACACTGCTTTGTTATGGTGAGTGGCAAACAAGACTGCCCAGCTTGATTCTCTAGCATAGCGGTTCTTGTTCGCAACTTTCCTAATGCTGCAACCCTTTAGTACAGTTCCTCATGTTGCGGTAACCCATGACCTCAAAATTATTTTCTTGCTTCTTTGTAACTGTAACTTTGTCACTGTTCTGAACAGTAATTTATCTGACATACAGAATATTTGATCTCTCTTTGAAAGGGTCATTCAAAACTCCAAAGGGGTCGCAACCCACAGGGTTGAGAACCACTGCCTTGGATTGACTCTAACTCTGGTTCATAAGATTTTGGATCCTTGGCTAATAACTGAAGTTTTCAGGGCTGAAGTCTGGGTTCTGGCAGCCTTTGCCCCCAATATTATTGCCTTCATTTTATTTTCCCACAGCTTTAAGATTTATTTGTTTTCTTTAATTTTATGTGCATTTTTTTTTTGCAATGGGTGTTGGATCCCCTGGAACTGGAGTTACAGACAGTTGTGAGCTGCCATGTGGGTGCTGAGAATTGAACCCAGGTCCTCGGGAGGAGCAGCCAGTGCTCTTAACCTCTGAGCCATCTCTCCAGCCCCAGATTTGCTTTTTACATGTAATTTAGTTTATATTATTAACTTGTGCTCATTGTAAAAATGTTAAATTATGTGCTGGGCATTGTTTTTAACAGATGAAGTAATTATTTTTTATTATTCACAAGCTGTTCAATAACAGATTCAAAAAGGTTGCCGAACATACAACTAAAAAGTAGTTATACTGGTATCTAAACACAAGCAGAATACCACAGAGCTTCTTATTAACTACCACACACATTCTATTGACTCCTTTTGATTATTTCTGCTAATACTTATATGTACAAAAAAAACATGTGTATTTCACTGTTGGCCTGGCACATAAGTCCTATATAGTGTTCGATATTCTTGTCATCAAAGAGGAGATGAACTAGCTTATAGCTTTGAGTTTTCTGGTAAGAGGTTTGGATTTGATATATAGGTAAATTGCAATTGTTTAATAGCAGTAAGCAAAGAAGATGACATAGCAACTGATCTGGTGGCAGAATTTAGAAAATTTTGTGTTGGGCAGTAGGAAAGATGAATGTGAATGTGTAATAGCCAGAGAAAGACAAAGCAATTGGGCAGATCTTACTTTAGTGTGCAATATAAAATAAGTGTCAGTAGTAACAATGTATGTCCAAGAGACATCACAAAAGAATTGTTTCTAGGTTATTGATAAATATGGGTAAGAAAGAGACGAATCAATATGATGACTCGGCATTTAGAATTGCAATGTAGATGACGTAAAATTGTGGTCCTAACAGGAGGAAAAGTCAAAGAATATGAGCTATTTGTGCTGGAAACACGAAGACAAATAATAATGTGTCTGTTTGGTTTGATTTTTTTTGTTTTGTTTGTTTGGTTTGATTTTTTTTCTCCTTTCCAATCAATTAATAAGTGTGGGCTGTGTGTCTGTGTGTGTGTGTGTCTGTCTGTGTGTCTGTGTGTGTGTGTGTGTGTGTGTGTGTGTGTGTACATGTGTACCAAGGTCTACACATGGAGGTCAGAGGACAGGATTCAGGAGTCAGTTCCCTCCTTGTACATTGTTGAGATGGAATCTCTCTTGTTTCTGTGCTAAACACTACATTAGCTGCCACATGAACTTCTAGGAAGTTCTCCCTGCCTTACCTCTTATAGGCATCTGGTCTTACAGGTAGAGGGCACTGAATCCATGTTTTGACATGGGCTTGGGATCAAACAGGTCATCAGGCTTACGTGGCAAGTGCTTTTACAAGTTGAGCAATCTCCCCAGCCTTGGGTTTCGTGATACACAGACTATATGTATGCAGAAAATGAATGATTATGAACGGACTCCCCATACTATACATTTTTATTCAAAAGTAATGTTTTGTTTATTTTCAGGTCACCATGGCCATGCCAGAAAAGTCAAGCGATGCCAACCCATCTGAGGATTGCAGCAATTTCCCTGAGATTATTGAACTCAACGTAGGTGGCCAGGTGTACATAACTCGCTACCCCACTCTCATCAGTATTCCCGGTTCCCAGCTCTGGGAAATGTTCAGTGTAAAGAACCCTTGCTCACTGATCCAGGACAACAAAGGGAGATTCTTCATAGATCGAGATGGCTTTCTCTTTCGTTATGTCCTAGACTACATGAGAGACCTGCAAGTAGTGCTTCCTGACCACTTCCCAGAGTGTGGCCGGCTCCACAGAGAAGCAGAATACTTTAAGTTGCCAGAACTTGCCAAGATGTTGGCTCTTAAAATGAACAACCTCAACTCCGTTGTCAATGACTCGTGTCAAATTGATGGAGATGAGCTTTCCCCCAGCATTGTCGCCACTTTTAATTTCTCTTCAGATAATAGCATCCATGTTAGTGGCCCTGATAATTCCGTAGTCCTCAGAGCTGCCACTGGTTCTGAGCTAAAAAAGTCTGGCTTCATCACTATTGGCTATAGAGGCTCCTATACTCTGGGCAGGGACATCCAAACAGATGCCAAATTCCGCCGTGTGGCCAGAATCATGGTGTGTGGTAAGATTTCATTAGCCAAAGAAGTATTCGGAGACACTCTGAATGAGAGCAGAGATCCAGACCGCCCTCCTGAGCGATATACTTCTCGATACTACCTTAAGTTCACGTTTCTGGAACAAGCCTTCGACAAACTAGCTGATGCTGGCTTCCACATGGTAGCATGCAACTCCACTGGCACCTGCACTGCCACACACGACCAAACAGATGACAGGATCTGGACCTCTTACACTGAATATGTTTTCTATCGTGAGTGACCATCAAAATCATCCAGGAAATAAAAGCCCCCAAAGTTTCCCTCCTCTGTTCCCGTATCAACTGCATCCTTTAGAAATAGATACAGTGATAACTCTTGGCTCTTGAGTGTTGTGTATAGTCTTGGACAATGCCACGTCTCTCATCATAACCACTTGGACCTTTTGTTCTTATGAGTCACTCCAGTCTATCTGCATACCGACTGTCTCTGGACTGTGGAGTGGATGCCATTTAGTGAAAGCTGTGCATCAATATAGAGAGTAGAGGTATATATTTCTGGAGAGAATGCAGTTAAATATAACCATGGAATTAAAACTGCTGAGAAATATTAAGCCATGGCTTCCAAGCTGTTTCTTAGTAACACACATTGAACTTGACTATGTACCTTGCTGTGTGTATTCACTTAGATGAAACTCTGCATCGCTGAGCAACAGATTACAGTAGGAAGCGTGTACGTGCTTTGCAGACATCTTACCCTGCTGAGGAGAAGAACTTGACAGCAGTCCTCCAGGAGGTTCACAGAAAGGCCAAGCAATTCCAGAATGACTGAGGACTTCTAATAGATGCTAGACAAACAATTGTATGACTATTATTCCTAAGAATAAAAGGCTTAGCACTTAATTTGATTTCACAAGAAGAAGATAGTAAGGAGGTGTATCATAGCTATTACCTCTGTCATAAGCAGCAGTGCCATTAAAAAAAGCTGTCTTAAAATATCTTTCATTAGAATTAAATGCAAGCAGGGAAGAGAATGATGGGCAAAAGGTTGCTTTGTGTAAGTATATGCATGCATTCATTAGTTGACTTTCACTAGTCCAATAATTGGCTGTGCCTGTCAATTGTTAGCTTGTTTACGTTTTTTTACAGGGTGTGGGTGTGTGTTTTGTTTTCCTGGAGGTGGGGATGGGAGAAGGGAAGAACAAAGGGAAAACAAGAAAAGAACTTTTTTTAAAAAAAGCACAAAAACAAAACCCTGAAATTCATCTTCTGCCCCCTTGGTGATGACTTTTTAAGCAAACAGGTTGAAAGCAGGTGTTCCTTCTCATATGAAAACATCCGGGATCTCAGATAAGTGACTGAATGAAAGGATTATGAACCAAGTTAAGAAAGAGTTTTCTTGGGTTCATTTCAGAGGATCTGCATCACCTTTTGAAAAGTTTTCTAGCAACTGCAGTCCGCTGGCTTTGTGTGTCCACTACTCTGCACACGCTACTCCGCACACGCTACTCCAGGCACGCTACTCCGCACACGCTACTCCACGCACACTACTCCGCACACACGCAGTTTCCTCCACAAACATTTATTGTTGTCAAGGTCTTTTAACTCGTTTTCTAGTCAGGCCTTTTTGAGTTGCAAAGAGCTAAAAACCACATAAAATGGCTTGAAGAAGATTTAAAAGGAGGCTGGAGAGATGACTCAGCTGTTAAGAGCACTGGCTGCTCTTCCACAGGACCCAGGTTCTATTCCCAGCACCCACATGGCAGCTCACAATTGTATATAAGTCCAGTCTAGGGATCTGACATCCACACACAGACATACATGCAGACAAAACACCAATGCACATAAAATACAAATAAATAAATCTTTTAAAAGATTTTCAAATGTGCATATATCAGTGATGTGGCCAGATGAGCATTTTAAGCTCACATTTATTTTTTTCTGTTGAGTGTAAAGGAAGGAGATGTAGTCAAATAAGGTCTCAGAGGGTCTGGAGAGCTGTCAATAACAGATATTCTCTCTTGTCTCTCAAGTGCCACACGATTTCCTCTGATCATCTCCGGGGCATATCAATTTCACATTTCTCCATGCAGTTCGCTTTCTTTTCCAACAATTTAGAGCTGGCCTAAACAGCACGTCACTGAACATGAATGCACAGGATCTTCTCCATTTTTCTGTAGTTTATTCTTTTTTGTTGTGGTGTTCTGTTTGAGTTTTTGAAACAGGGTTTCTCTGTAGCTTTGGCGCCTGTCTTGGAACTAGCTCTTGTAGACCAGGGTGGCCTTGAACTCACAGAGATCCGCCTGTCTCTGCCTCGCGAGTGTTGGGATTAAAGGCATGCACCACCACCCATCTGTATTTCTTTATGCACAAAAGCATGTAAATAAATACATATGTAACAATCATAATTAAAAGATGAAAACATTATGAATTTGGGAGGGTGCTGGGAGGACGCAGGAAGAGTTGGGGGGAGGGAGGGGTAGAAACGATATAAATACAGTACTCATGTATGAAATCTCAAAACAGATTTAAAAACTCTGAATAATAAAAATTATATAACCACAGTCTATTTCGAAGTCATTACTGAGCCTAATGTAATAGTAAGGGTGTGGGGAGGGGGCGAGTAGTGTACAGTAAGAAACCTGCCAGAGCAATCTAAAAGCACATAGAGAATAGCTTGGTTTTAAAGCAAGAGAAAGGGTAAGGCATATTTGTATACAGATTGTAACTCTGTCAATTTCCAGTGCTGCATGTGTGGAGATTCTAGCTCCCCCAATTGCAGATCTTACCTATGAACTGAATCACAAGCCCAGCCTTAGCACCGAGTCATTGTTTTGCCAAGTCATTGTGGAAGTGCTCCCCCTCCCTTCCCAAGTAAAGAGGAACATGGTAATACAGAGTTTATCAAGCTTTATTTTGCCCAGAACGGAGTGTTCTAAAGCCAATGCAAGTTGCCTAGAAAACGTTTTGACTAGCACAGGATGTCTGCATTAGGAATGTGGATTTGAGCATCGGCTCAGGTTGCATACAGCTGTAGCACAGTTTCCTCAGAGTGTCCTGGTTCCTATGCGTACAGTTCTGCCTATTCCCAAAAGACTGACTGCCCTATTGTTAGCTTCCCCACCAATAGGCAACTAGAGACAATGGAAGGGTCTGACTGCTGTCAATCAGAAGACCAAACCCCACCCACCAGTTTATTGAAAGAAATTCAACCATTTAAAGATACAAGAGCTGGGCATGGTGTCATGCCTTTAATCCCCACACTCAGAAGACAGAGGCAAGTGCATCTCTGTGAGCTAGCTGGGTCTATACAGTGAGTTCCAGAACACCCAGTGTTACATAGTGAGATGCTCTCTCTAACAAACAAAAAACCAGACCAAGATGCTTACAATAATGACCCAATACAAAATTAAATTCTTCACAGTACCTGACAATGTTTATCTAGCTACCGATCAAGTGTCTTTATAGAGGGTTTTGATTCCTCTGATATGTCTCATTTTCATTTTTAACATATTTTTCTTTCTCTTTCCTTCTTTCTTCCTTCCTTTCTTCTTTTAACAGGACCTCCCTATGTAATCCTGGCTGGCCAGGAACTTACTACTTACAGCAGGCAGGCCTCAAACTCACACAGATCTGCTTGCCTCTGCTTCAGAAATTCTAGTATTAAAGGTGTGCACCACCATGTCTGCCTAGATTAATATTTTTAATTGGTATACAAAGAATAAGGTTCACTATAGCATTTTTAAACATAATTTGTTTTTATTGATTCTCCTCCCCTTCCCCCATTCTTCCTTGTACCCTTTTTGCCTTCAGTAACTTCTTTTTTACTTCCATGTCGTATGTGTTCTATTGTTCCACCCATTTCCTCCTAAAATATGAACATCTGCAAAAGAAGAAAGAGTGTTCAAAGGCTAAATAGCCCTTAAAGTGACAAATGTCTTAGCTTTAAAGCTAAGAGAAAGTGAACTGAAGTGGGAAAGGCTGAAACTTTTCCATATGCTTGCCCATTCCCATAGTGCAAAGATCCAATATCGCTAATGTTAGCAAATGAAACTATCTTACACATCTCTCTTTCTCCCCCTTTCCCTTTCTTCTTTCCTTCCTTTTACCGTTCTTTCTTTGTGTGTGTGTGTGTGTGTGTGTGTGTGTGTGTGTGTGTGTGTACCCAGTTCTGGCTTTCCAATTTGTTGTGGAGTATTCACCAGAGAGGACTACTCTGACATGGGTTTAAACCAACAGAAAGTCTTTATGAGCCAGCTGGCAACTACACTGGGTGTTTAGGATCCCAGTGTAGCCCTGAGCCTTTCTCAAGATGAGCCTTTAAGCACAAAACCCATGCTCTGGACTAACAAGCTTCAGTTAGCAAGAGCAGTTAGCCAGAAGCAGAACTACAGAAGCCGAAAAGCAAGGTTAGTACATTTAGAGACTTTCCTAGAACCATAGGTTTTGATAGATTAGGTCTTTGTTTTCATTTTTGGCACGTGGTGCTGTCTATGTGCTGAGTTTTACTGAGTTGCCTGAATGGTACTTCCATCATGGTGTCAGTTGTGCTAAGATCTGAGGACCTACTAAGGTCTAGGGCCCTGTTACATTCCCCACTGGTCTTAGTGAATGAGTCAAACCATCAGCTCATCCTGGTCTAAAGAGGTGGAGTTGGTTCTAAGGATCATTAACTTTACTAAACTCATACATAATTGGATATATGGTTTAAAATGAAGTATGTTTCCATTAATCCAATCTGAATAAGAATTAAAGGGCTAGTCAGTTTTGATAGCAGAGCAGTTAGCTAGGAAGGGGAGGGGGTGGGCAAGAGAACAGAGACTGTACCAATTATTAGTTTTTTGTTTTTGTCCCCCTTTTTAAAATCATGGTAAAAAATTCTAATTACTTCTAATTAGTTAGCATAGAAACAACAGGTTTTTGTAAAGCCATGTATGTAATGGTCTGTCCTGTCCCTTTAAGAGACAAGCACACACCCCTACAGTCCACCACTGAGGCATGCAGATCTTCCTTCCTGCCTGCAGCCAGAGTCCCTCTTCTTTCTGTCTCTCTCCCAAAGAGGTAGCTGCAGCTGTGGATCCTCTCCTCCCCCCTCCTCACACCCCCCTCTGTTTCTTTCCTCTTCCCCTTCTCTCCCTCTCCCCTTCCCTTCTGTAACCCACTAATGGCGTGCCTATCTGTCTCTGTCTCTCACCTGCCATGTGGTTCTGTGCCTAGGACCTACTGACCCTCATAGCCTACAGACCACTTGGGGGCTCCCTGCCTGGGACTGGCTGCCTTCGTGGCCCACTGTGGTCTCAGGACCCACTGCCCACTGCCTGCTGCCATTTGGG